CCCGGGAGGGCCCGGGGCTGGGCGCCTGGGCTGGTGCCTACGGGTTGCGGGATGAGGGAGAGGCGATTGGGCCTGGCGCCACCTCTTCCCCCGCCCTCCCGGCCCGCTGCGCCCGCCCCCGGGAATGTCGGGACTCCTCCCAGGGCCCGCACTTGAAAGGCAGGGGCTGGACCACGCCCTGGCACCAAGCACTGGGCCCCAAGGTTCAGGGTCTCAGTCCACTGCAGAGCCGACCACTGGCGCGATGGTGGCAGTCTGGCTGGTGCACGTCGGGCAGAAGCTGCTGCTCTGGGGCGCGCTCAGCGCCATCACCCTGGTGGGCGCCACCCTCATCCTGAGCTTCCTGCAGATGATGGCAAGTTACGTGCATAACTGGCTGCAAATGAGGCCCATCCCCACCATTCCGGGCGCCTACCCCTTCGTGGGACACGTGATGATCCTGGAGCGAGGAGGGAAAGGTAAGGGACTGCGCGCCTGGCCACATCCCCGCCACGGGCTGTTGGTCCCTTTGCAGGTAACCGAGGCAGGGTAGCAGGTCCTGAGCACCTCCCGCTTACCCGCCTGGAGCAGCAGGACTAGAGATACAGGCTGCTGGGTGAGGGGCGACTCTATAACCCCCTGGATAATGGGTTCCCAGTTCTCTCCAGTTTTCATTACACATAAGTGCAGTGTTTCTAAACTCCCGTCCTTCTGCCTTTTCTCTTCTCATTTTCCCAACTCCTGGCTGCTGCTATCTGAAAACACCACCTGCAGCCCTTAGGAGGCTTGGCTCAGTGGATAGAGCTTTGGCCTGCGGACTGAAGGGTCATGGGTTTAATTCCTGTCAAGGGCACAAGTCTGAGTTGGGGGCTCGATCCCCAGTGGGGGGCTTGCAGAAGGCAGCTGATCAATGATTCTCTCTCATCAGTGATGTTTCTCTCTCCCGTCCTCTCTGAAATCAATAAAAATATATTTAATAAGAAAAACAACAACAAAAACACTGCCTGGTTTTTCTTCTGTCTTTACTGTTAAAGTCCTAAAGGCAGACACAACTTATAACTTTCTCTCTCTCTCTCTCTCTCTCTCTCTCTCTCTCTCTCTCAAATAGGGGATGAGAAATGCACTTGAGACCAGAGCCTCTCACTTCAGAAATCACAAGACTTGACCACAACTTTCATTCCTCCTTGGCCCTTCTTAAGGAGGTTACATAACAACATGAATTATGATGTTATTCATCAAGGCCTGCCCCAAGAGTCATACAGCAAGTTTCAGAAATCTTATTTGTTAAAGAGTGAATTGTTGTTTTTATTGAAATCATCTTTTGAAGAGACAGCTTTATGTTTTGTTATGATAGGGGTAGAGGGGTCACTTTAAGTTAGAAAGCTCCTAAAAGTCCCTGATGTTTGCATCCCCCATGAGGGAGGGTGAGTTAGATCTTAGCACTTCATCTTCGTGGCTGTATAAGTTGAGATGCCCAGAACTGAAAAGATTTGCCCCAAATGACATATTTTAAAATGAGCCCAGAACTAGAATCCAATCACCCCTCAGTTTAATTGAAGACGTTTTATAGACTGAACATCAATTCCAAAGCTTAAAGGATTATTTCTTTTCCACTTTTCTTTCTCCAAATAAAAATAATGCTGTCATTTCAACTTCACGGGAATACATGAGGCCTCATGGGAGAGTGTTACCAAAATACAGAAAATGTTTCTGGCAGAAGAAATCCCAGTAAACTTTTAACCTACCAAACATCAATGTGACTAATGTTGCAAGTGATGCAGCAAATTTTGATATATGAAAACTACATTTGTAAAAATCATCATGGCGAACACTAAAGACAGAGCTAATCTTCCCTTCTACCCAAAGGCTTTATAATATTAAAAAATAATGGTGTAGAAATATAGACCCCTCCTCCTCAACAGGAAACGATCTACTTAAGAAATCTCATCATAGTGTTTTGGGGGAATTTTCCTAAGAATTGAAATCTCTAGTGAATAAGATCCATTTCAAAACAAACTGAGTTACTGGATTCTTTAAAGTAATCCTCCTTATAGTTACTTCCAGAGAGAAGAGAATGATAACACATTATCTTTCTCAAGGGGACTTCTTTATGCATCAACAGCTACTGGATCTGGGCATGAGACCAACCTTTGCTCCCTTTCTGCTTGTAACAAAATTGTTTGATGCCGCAACCTTTGTGGAGAGGTTTGGGATCTGAAGGAGGGGCCAATGCACAAATGATAATACTATATAAGAAATATGAATTTAGAAGGCATGGGGGCCAGATGGCGACCTCTCTCTTGGAGAGGCACAGGGACTTCTGGGTCCCGTTTGCTTTTTATTCACTTGAATACACATTTTCCCTTTAGAAATGCATACAGGCAGGACAAAAGTAAAGTTTGGTAAACAGTATAAGGATTATCAGGTTAGATAATTGCCTTGAGCCATTGAGCAAACAGCAGGGCAATATCATGCTGATTTTCAGTCCTGTTGAATACCAAAGTCTATTGGCCTTCCATGGTCTCTTTTTGCATTAATACCATAACTACTGTTGGTATTAGCCTCTGGCAGTTTGAATTTGACAAGTTGTTTAAAACTCTTTAAGTTAGAGTGTGTTACCCTTTACTTGTAAAAGTCACTATATTACAGTTACTTTGAGGATTACATTTAATGCGTGCATTTTCTAGACCATTGTCCAGAACTTGGTTTGAGTCCATTTTTTCATTGTCAATCATGCACTTATTTGAGGCCCTCCTTTGTGTCCAGCATTAAAATAAGGCATAGGACAACATTTAAAGGTATATTCCCCATCCTCAATACCCTTGTGTCTTGTACAAGAGGCTGTGCCTTTCATTGTGTGGCTACTATTCACATTCTGGCCACAGAAGTCTCACCTGGAGAATTGCAGTTGACTTCTAACTAGGCTGTTGAACTCTATCTTTTGGTTTTTCAGTCCTTTTTGTCTACACCTGCCTTCCCCAGCTGCTCCTTGCCATTGGGCCCACCTGAGGCCTTCAAACCATGGATTGTAATTTCCCTGTCTCCTCTGTCAGACCAGACCAAGGCAGTGTTTATGGCCATGATACGTATATTTTGACACTGTTGATCTGACCTAGCTCTTTTCACAATTATTTAGGCAATGGTTTGGCTGGAAGGCAATTTGAATCGATGTGATGTAATGGTGAAGATGGCACATTGTGTGTCTGGGTGCCTTGGGTACAAAGCCAGGCCTATATTTACCAGTGCTGTGATATTGTGCAACTACTTAGCTGTGCACAACTTCCTCAGTTGTTCACTAACTTCTGTAATAGTGTTTCTTATCTGACTGTGTTGAGGCATAAAAGACATAACGCATGGAAAACCCTTAGCTCTGGTCTGATGTTTAATGACCTTCCACAGCAAATAAGTATGACAGAATAAATGTTAGCCATTTTAGAAGATTCATTATTAGGTTTGAGGGGCCCAAATGTGCAAACGCTTTAAACAATTATTACTGTTTATTCAGTATCACATACAATGGACATCCCTGAGCTTTAGTGTCTCTCCCGCTGCACTTAGAGCAGCTTTCCCTGAAGCCCAGGGGTGGGGGAAGCTGAAGGATGGGAGAAGGAGTAGTTGAGCATGTGAACATTTATTGGCATGAGAAAGAGCTGGAAAGTTTAATAGTTTTTTTTTTATTATTATTATTCTATGTCAATCTGTCCTTGGGGTCCAAATTCCCATATGAAAAAACCCCATCAAAACCTCAGGTGTGGAGAACCATGGTGGCAGCATAAGGTATGCACCTGTACGTGCTGCCCCCCACAACCACATTAAAACTACAACTAAAAGACAAAACAGCTATCATCCAGAACAATGGGAAAGCTGGCTGAGTGGAAGTTCTAAACTAGAAGGAAACAAAAAAGCGCATTGAGGCTGGGTAGGAGGTGAGGAGGCGCCAAGAGCAAAGTCTAACCTAACAAACTGAAGCTGGGTCAGAGAGCTCCAAAATTCCAAACCCAAACAAAGAGGAGAAATCTGCAGATCTCGCAGTAGCTCCTGCTGGGTGGACTCACACAGTGGTTGAATTTGTACCTCCTTGGAGATCCAGGAGCCAGTGTACCCAGTGGTCACATACCATATTTCAACTCCTCACATCCATAGTGACACACTCAAGAGGCAGACTCAGTGAGCCCCAAAGCCCCACTGAAGCAAGTCCTGCCCCATAAGGGTGTCTCCAGTGCAGCAGTCCTTCCACTATAGACACAGTGGGTCTTGCAGTCAATTGGCCTGGAGGTCATTTACTTTCAGAGATACCCACAGCAATCAATGCTTAACTACAACAAGACTGTGCACCCAGCCCACAAAGGGGTGCACCAAGAGTGTCCATCTCAGGTGATTGGGGAGGCTAGCCACTGGGGCTCAATAGGACACCTACCACACAAAGCCACT